CTCTATCCCAGGACCCTGGGATCATGACCTGAGCTGAACGAAGGCAGACGCTTAACGACCGAGCCACCCAGGTGCCCCCTATATGAAATAATTTTAAAAAATTATAATGGGTGTACCTGACATTTTATTTTTTTAATCTTTAAAAAACGTTTTATTTATTTATTTATTTGAATGAGAGAGAGAATATGCACAAGCAAGGGGAGAGGCAGAGGGGAGGGAAAGAGAAAGAGAGAATCTCTCTCCAGCAGACTCCTCACTGAGCACAGAGCCCAAAGCGGGGCTCAATCTCATGACCTGAGCCAAAAGCAAGAGTTGGACCTTTAACTGACTGAGCCACCCAGGGGCCCCATACCTGCCATTTTAATAGTAATTTACAGTTCATGAGGCAATTTTTCTTCTGTGACTTTATTTGGTATTTTCAACCATTCCATCAGATGGGTAGAATGGATACTGAAATTCCTTTTTTTTTTTTTAAGATACTCTAAATGCATTTATTGGTAGTATTACTGAATGCTGAATGCAGAGATTAAAATACAAAGAAATCAGCACTTAAAATCTTTAAAAAATGCAGTATCTTTACATATATGTTAACCAATTCTGCTTATCTAGATTTACAAACATAAAGCGAATTCCAAAGCTTTCATTCTGAATATACTCTGATTTTGAGTTCTAGTGTTCTCCAGTCTAAAGTCGGCTTTTATTTTGCTGTATTTTACCAAGTATGATTTATTTTATTTCTACCCTAAAAACAAGACTCTGTGAGCTGATCCTGAAGCAGTCAGTTAAATCAGGAATTTTTAAACAGCTCTTTAAGAGAGGATAAAGCCACATGAAAGAAAACACCTCAATCCTACATATATAAATACAAGAGAAAATAGCAAGAAGCAACAAGAATCACAGAAATGTCAATCCTACTCTAAAGTATAGTTTCTACCTGTAGCAACAATTCAATTAGCAGTAGCTTAGATGCCTTTGTTCTAAAAAATAAAACCATTAGTTCTTTCACTACAATTTTCTGACTATACTCAGTGAATAATTATCGACTCTTTATATACTTTTTAAAAACTCAAGAATATGATTTATACATAACAGACTCATTAACAAAAGAGGCTGAAAGCTGCAATACAGTCTGGGGACCAGACTTCACGTTACATAATATTACCATCTGTAAAGAGCGGAGGGCACCCAGTACAGTAGCGCTCAGCACTGCTACCTCAGAAATGCTCCACCCACTCTTGCATCAGAGAATTACTGATACGAATGTGACTATTAAGACAATTCTAACAGGGCCTCTAAACAGGATTGCATGTAAAATGAAATAATTATCAACTATGATACAGTTGTAACAACACAGCTAGCCTGTAGCACTGAATTTTTCACAATAATAGCACTACAGAATTACAGTGACAGATGTCAGAATTATCTTTCTCTGCTAACTACTGAGTCGAAAAAGAGTTTTCTGATTATATTTTTGATGAACAGGAGATCTTTGATATAAACACTAGGGGAAACTGGAAAGTGAACAAAATGAACTCAAGTTCTTTTTTCACAGATATTAACAACAAGCAAAGCAGTTTACAAAAAAAAAAACCACCAAAATTATCCTATAAACAAATAAATGTCAAATCAATCATTTTTGAAGAAAATGTAGCTCATTTTCAAAAGTTCTGTTCGGTTTGTAACGAGACTTGAAAATATTAAAATAAACCAAACAGAGTCCCACATACTGGTTTGCTATACAGGTTGTGAAAAAAGCACTTCAAGTTTTAAGCTTAATGTTTCATTCTCTCCCCTATTCCCAGAGAAGAAAAAGAAAAAAAGGGGCTCTTGCAAAAATAAACAAAACCTAAACCAACCAACTAACAAAAAGTAATCACATTAAGAAAACCTTTCTCTTTTTGAGCACTTCACTTTAGTTGGTCCCATATTAGGGTAAGGTTTCTGTAGCAAGACTCCCTAGGCTCTTCCTTTATCTTTCATTCTTCAGTCACCTCCATGTTTTTATCAAACAAGGCTATGTGAAGGCTTTCCTAACAAGTCGGGCTGAGTCAGAGGTAGCTTTAGGATGAAGTATACTTGACTATGGTATGTGGTTAGTTCAAATGAACACGTTGTTCGAAAAGGGTTACAATACATAAAAATGCACAAAGAAAAAATGTACAGCCCTCACTGCCTTGCACTAAGAAAACGTTTGAGAAACTCAGAACAAACAGTGGAAGCCAGGAAAGAGGCACTGGCCCCATCCCCATGGGTTCCTTTAATGCACCAGGCTGGTTCTCCACGAAGGGGAGCACCCCGCTCACGTAGTGTGCAATGCCAAGGGACAGCAAAGCAATGACAAAGATCAAGAGCAACACCCTCCAGAAGCCCAGGTCCTCGACAAACTCCTGCCATGTGGTTCAGAAGCTGGACAGGACTCCTTCCCCTTGCTGCAGGTTGGGATTGAGGAGAGAATGGCTCTCCATGGCACTTTCACTCTCAGCTGTCTGCATGGTCTCCAGTTTTGAGTGAGTTCCTTTTTTAAACCCTTTTACCTCTTGTTCTTCCAAAGATTCCAGCAATCAGATGACATCTTTATTCACTCCTCTGCGCTTTGCCAGAACCAAGGGTGTAGCACCTTGATGATTACAAATATCAATTTTGAGTCCATTGGAAACTAAGAATTGAATAGTATCCATATGGCCACACAGATGCAGGGCTGTGTTTCCTTGATAATCTGTGGCCAAAGATCAGCACCAAATTTATGCAACAGTGGGCAGATGTCAACATTCCCTCTGGCTGCTGCGAGGTGAAGGTCTGTTCTGCCCCTGCTGTCACAAATATTTGGGTCAAAGCCGCTTTCCAAAAGCCGCTTGGAATAGTTAAAGTCTCCATCAATACAGGCTTGTAGCAAGGGCACATTAGTCTGAGATGAATCATTTACAAAAACGTAGGACATTATTCTGATGGAGCGGATGGACTATACGTAAGCCTGAAGATTATATCTTTCTTTCAGTGATCAGCCAGCAGTTTCTCTGAATTCTTAAGAAGTTTCAACAGAATATCCAGAAATGTGACAGCAAGGATCTTCAACACGGTGGAGCAGAGGAAGCAGCCCCCCCCCTTTTTTAAGATTATTTATTTATTTATTTGAGAGAGAGAGAGAGAGCACAAGCAGGGGGAGGAGCAGGTAGAGGGAGAAGCAGGCTTCCCGCCGAGCAGGGAGCCCAATGAGGGACTCGATCCCAGGACCCTGGGATCATGACCTGAGCCAAAGGCAGACGCTTAACAGACTGAGCCACCCAGGTGTCCCTGGATACTGAAATTCTAATTTTTAGATGAGAGGATTGATGCCCACTAACCTGGAATAATTTGTCCAAGGTTACACAGATGTTGCTATTGGTTGAAAGAGGACTCACCTTGACCTCTGCTTCTCCTAAATGAGACCATAGGCAATGGCTTCCAGTAACTGTTAAATGTAGGCATGCTCTATAGTGGTCTATATACCCTGCCTTATTATGTCTGGAGACAGAAGAGTGTAAAGAACACTGAGAGAGCCCATCCTATCTTATATGGAATGCAGATTAACGGACCACAGTTAGGGCCACCCCAAAGGGAAGCCCCTGTGAGAGCCACAGAGTCTTTAATCTCAGCTTTGCCACAAATGCTGGAATAGGACCTATTTTTTTTAAAGTTCTAATAATAATAAAGCTTTTATAATTTGATATCTTATTAAAAATTCACTTCTATCTCAACA